GAACGCTGTTCGATACTCTACGTTTTTTCCTTCAGAAAATAAATAATGTCTAGCACCCCTGAGACCTTGGACTACTACTACTGAGTGCTTTGAAACAATTGTTCACAATTGTATTGCCCACATGTCTCAAATTATCGTGTTTGAAAGCAGTGTCTCAAAATCCAATACATGATCTAAGATTAGCTGTGATTAAAGCCGCTATAGAAAAATGTACTTTTTGGACTCCAAATGTTATTTTTATTGTCGTAATAATGTCAATGTTCGCACTTCTTTTCACAAGTCCGGCACGGTTTCTAAGATGTCAACACTTTTTATCCTTACAAAGAGATCATGTAATGCATATTCGCCAAAATAAAGATTCTGCTAAAATACGTGTTCGTAGGTGTTCCCCAGTTCCTTTTGCAGTAAGACAATATTTTATAGTAGGAGCATAAGTTTATTATATCAAATATTTACACACAACCAACTATTTTTATTCGGTTTAAACTGGAGCGGGTACGCACTGGCACTGTCCGGCTGCACAATATCCAGCAACATGTCCTTGACCAACACATCCCAATCTGCAGTTCGAGTTGATGCAGGTCACCCATGGTGGTATTACTACTTTGAGCAGAGCCTCCACTTGTGCTGTAATCAGAAAACAATGGAATAAAGCTTCATCGGTAGCTACAATATGTTATTTCTGAAGAAAATAGGATTAGGAATACGTGAGTTTTATGAAACTTATTGCAGCACTGACATCATAGCAGAAAGACAGAAGGTAGCTTGTCAGGTGCCAAAATCACGTAACCTTTTTTTTACTATTTTGATGACTTTCTAGTACTTTGAGTTTCTCCTTTTTAATGGTAGTGCCCATTCCTAGGCCAAACACTTTTCAATAATTTTCTTTTGGTAAAGTTCATAGTTTATTGATTGTACAGGTAATTTCACACGTATTATGTCTTTCTTTCTCAGTGATCCAGTATTGTGTTGGAAAAAAAATCTGTGGCTTTTCTCCATTACTTGGTTTTCTATCGAACATACGAGTATCTTCTGTAAGACTACTCATTGAACCTTCCTTTATACAGTTGGGTGTTTCGTGTCAGTCACTTTTCTTCAGAGACTGTGCTGTGAGCGCCCTTGGTTTGACCTCCAGATTCTGGTATATTAGATGCCGAACACCAGTTTGCGGAGTAGTACCCCTTCATATAGTATCTTACGTTTAGTTGTTTTGATTTGAGTGCTACCCCGTCCGTTTTCGTATGGGATTTTAAAATTCAGCGTGGGAAGGCATTGCGGAAAAACACCACACACTCCTCCAGTTTTGCTTGTAGCTGTTTTGCAGCTGGTATTGCCGGAAGGTACCCTTTCCCCTTAGCAAAAAATCCTGATGTGAACAATTTTTCTTGCTAATACTTGAAACTTGTTGCATCGCTGCCATCATAGCAGAAAGGCAGAAGATAACTATTTCCAGAAAACCGATTAGAAAATGAGAATTTTTTGTCTGTTAAAATGATCTTTGTGGCACCCGTGCACCGAAACCATCCAACTATCAAAACAAAGATAATCCAATTTCCCATACAGCTGTTTTCAAAAAATTCTGGAACGTCACACTGACATACAAAAACCAGTGATATTTCAGTTCTCGCAACAGATTCCACTTAAAGATACCAAAAAAGTCCGAATACACTTGAACAATTATAGACACTTTTTCTAATAAAGTCCCCAAATGAAATCAAATCATACTGACCCATATCACTACTGTCCATCATCATCAGGCTATTTGAAAAACTGCTACTTTAGTAGCTCTTTAGAGCCATCTATATAAAGTAAGGACTTCCTAATAAAGTAAGCATCCTACCTCCAAGACACTATGTCGAGATAATTGAATATATCTCAAATATAACCTTCAGAGTTAAGCAAGAAGATGAGTATTCTGATCTCCTGATATTAATGCTGGAGTACCTCAGGGGAATATTCAACTGACATAGATCTATCAAGTGCTGTTAGTAAAGTACACACTGCTACCAATAATTTAGCGAAGGTAAAAAATCAAATAGAACGAACTAGAATCGATCCAAGTTTGCTTTATAAACCAAAGATTGACAAATCATCTTCAAATAAGTGTTGATGGCATCCCACCATATCAAAAAAGAGGGAAGAAGTCAACCGCCGCTACAAGCAAGATTATTGGTATCGCTACCTCTCCATAACAAAATCATGATCTATAATCAGATCTTAAAACCATGGTGGCTCTATGGTTGACAGCTATGGGGCTGTTCCAAGAATTCCAAAAAAATATTCAAATATGTCAAAATAACGTTCTGAGGAATTTGCTAAATGCCCCTTGGTATGTTCTTAATAGGGGCATTTATCGCAATTTGACTTATGAAGTGTTTTGTGTCTAAAGCATGGCATATGAGGGAGTTCCTGGTGACAGTATAAATTATGTGTTGAGATTATCTAAAGGACATCAATGGATTGCCTCTAGTGATAAGTATTGTAAGAGGGCACAGGAAATTAAATGATTGATCAAATTGATCAGTTTTAATATTCAGATATTAAACCCACTCTAAAAAAAGTTCAATATTGGGGCGCGAGCGATAAAGATGGGAAGTAAGAAGTGAAAATTCGGAAACAACATGTGAAAATCTAAGAAAACCAATACTTTAAACCTTCCCTAAAGCTTTCCAAGTGTGACTATCAAATGATTGGACTATTAGGTTTACTATACAGACATAGACAGTTTTACAATACCTCTGGACAGTCCAGTATTTCCAGCTTCAGGACCTTCCACTGGGAGAGTGTTGGCGACGGCAATCAAACCGCACAGGAAAATAACAAAAGCAGCCTTCATCTTGAGTATCTCGTTACAGTCTTTGATTTTGTTCGTAGTTAGCTCGAGTATCATACGATATGGGGATACGGAGCAATTGTCTCTCTTTATATTCAAATGATACGCGTAATTATTTGAATTGTGATTTCGCGTTAAATTTTGAATGACTTGTGTTGACTATAGGATTTAGAGTTGTTTGGTTCTGTTAACTCGATAAAATACAACTGGGATTACAAGTTGTTGATCGCGGGTGGTCTTTTCTGAAAATTGCGTGACAAATAGTTTGCACTTTGATGTCACTTGATGTATTTGTGCAATGTTGTTTGCTATTTTGTGACTTGAAAAAAATTGTCTATGATTAAGTGGCTCCAGGGGCTAGATAATGAAATAAAAACGATAGATGGCAAAACTTCAGATTACTGGTAGTATAAAAGAACGTACAAGCTAAGATCTGTTTTAACGTAAAGCTTTCTGAATTCCAGTACAATTTATTGGTTTTTGCATAACCTTATTCAAAAGGGATTCGTTTTAACGAATTTGCATGTTGTCAGGCCCAGCATTGCGTCATAAATTGTTTGAATACTTTCTTTGTATAAATTTCAAAAGTTGTTTATTCGCTCCAGTTTTTCAGGTTTTGGGGAGGCTATGCTTCGTTTATCTGCCGCTCATGCAGACTATACATTGAACGCGCGCTTTATTAACAATTAGATAACAAGGGTTTACAATAGTAATACTCCCTAAAATGTTCTAGGATTTTAATCATGTTTGAGGAATATATAGTAACTTTCGTAACATTATAGTTGTGGTTTTTTCATGGGACAAACGTGGCACATTTTTAATTTTTAAAATATTGAATCATTTATATCTCGAAAACCATTAACTTTATAGAAAAGCTCATAAGAGAAATTTTGTTCAGAATGGCACAAAACACCTAAAAAAGAGAGAGAGCGAAAAATACCTTTTGGGATCTGTCTGAAAAAAAATTCTATTGATTCCTGGCCTAAAAAAGTAGTATCGGAATCAAATTTGGCATTTTGACAGGTGAAGTGGCCGGAATTTCATGATTAGAACATCCACTAGCAATAATCAGTAAAACCACAGCTATAGTAACAAGTGCAAAATAATTTCAACTGGTTATAAGGAGTAATAAATATTATTATTTGATCCAAAATTCAAAACACGAATGTCAACCAGCCGGAGCCAAATATTCACCGGATTCGGTTGCAGACTTCCACTCCATGATATATTTGCTCCTTAGTTGAGAACACCCAATTCGTCCCAAATTTTTTGGAGCCCCTGTGTATAATTTCAGTATATGTAAACATGACACCGACCGAGTAATTTACATTGACGGATAAAAACGTTTGTACATATTGTGGAATCCATTCCACTTGAAAAAATCCTACAAAGTGGCGCTCAGTCGCCATCTTGGAATATCCAATTGTTATTTTTATGCCAATTTCACAATATCGAATTTTGGCTTTCTAACTTGACCTCGTCAAGAAATAAGTATGGTTTTTTGTCTGAAAAACTGTATAAGTGCTGCCAAATATGGCACAACTAAAATTCAAATTGTTTGAGTTTCATCATTTTGAGAAATACAAAAAAACTCAAATAGTCCAGTTCGCATTGACAGCCGGAACACCACTGTGGCCGTTCGATGCTGCGGATTCTGGTGCGATGGTAGATGCAGTCTACTCGCATTCATTCATCCGACCACAGACGGTCAACCAGAGACAGTTGTTTAGTGCTATTTGGCTACTCCTGAGTCGGTTGTCAATGCAAACCTGCTGTTTTCATATTGCAATTCTGGCAACAGATGGCACTTTGCTCTCTTACTTTGATAGACCTTATATTCTGAACAGAAGATATGTGCTCAGCTTTCGTTTATTGTCCAACCGGGATCAAGCCTAGACCATGCTGTCGAGTTGCCAAATAGTATGAAACAGTAGTCCATGGTCCGTCTATGCTTGGACGAACAAAAGCTATATTACTAATGTCTAGAAAACGCAGAAACTAAATTAGAATATGAATTTCACTAATCACTTTTATGAGCCGTTGTGCCTCATGCAGCAATGCTCATTCATATCTTAGAAAAGATAATCTCTGTTTAGAAACATTTTGGCGGAAATGTTGCAAATTACTTTCATGTGGGACAGTATATCTATTATGAAACAAATATAAATCAACAGTGAGATATATTTATTGAATAGAGATAGTGTATGACAGTCTCAAGGCATATTTTATCACAATGTATACATATATTTTTGCTTCTACAGTAAACAGATACGGAGGAGCTAGCTAACAAAGAGAAACGGTACCACGATCCATTTTCATACAACTGGAAGGAGCACAATTATACAATTGGCATTATTCAATTTACAAATCCATGCCAAAACAGTTTAACTTAGAACGTTTCAAATGAAACAAGACTTTTCATTCTAACAAAGTCAAAAAGCTGTATTATAGAGTCAGAACAAGAACAATATCCTGGTAGATACTTTCAAGGCTACGAATAAATCCTTATTGCCTTTGGCATGTCGAACTACGAGCTTGTCATCCATCTTTTTGAAGTGTCAGATATTTATAAATGGAAATTTTATTTTATAACGTCAACGTCCTCTCAGAGCGCCAGCATGAGCAGAAGAGATGCAGAAGCTCAAAAGGCCTGAGCCTATGTACACGTGCATACAATCTACTGGATCTAATTCCATTAATCAAAGCTTGACTTAAGGTCCAGTTACATTGCAAACCTGAAGGCATACCCTCATTCTACTAAAGATACTTCCTTTGCCAGCGAAATGCAGGCAACATGGGATGGAAATAGTTACGGGCGACGAAGCTAATGATGTTCAAAGACAGGAGACCCCCAGGCCTTTCTGACTTGAATTTTTCGCAGATTGGCTCAGACATCCAATCGTTGACCGCCTGAGTGACAGATGTGATGTCAGATTTACCCTGGAGCCAAATCAACGCATATCTGATACCACACAGCAGGATAATTCTCGACGATACGAGGAGTTCACGAATCTGGCCTGCTGTCTTTCAAGTAGTGTCAATTCTTCTCAAAAGATGTAAAGAATAACGCATTCATTAGAGCAAAATTTAGTAAACATCATACAAGTACTAACGGAGCTATTCTTCCGACTTTTCTCAGAAATGCAAGTGAAACATAGCGTCAATTCTATCATTAATAATTATATTATGTTCGGTTAATTTTCAGACCTAACGATATATTAACTATGCTTCTAAAGAAATTGATGAAAGCGATTGCATGTATGATATGGAATCGACCTAGTTGACACAAAGACTTTTGCATTTATACAATAAAGCAATAGCAATATGTCTAAGATTCTTAACACCAACTCGTGGTAAAACATACGCTGCACGCTAGTGGCCTGCCATGAATATAGTAATCAATTGACCTGACTGGAACTTATCAGCGATTCAGTTTATCTGACAGGTGCACAGTATTACCGAGATCAGGGGCTTCTTAATAATACAGCGTCTTTCACTGATACAAAGCATCCAACATTTACAACCTCTAGCTCCAAATTTACAGCTCATGCAAAATTTTATCTGAAGATGACCAGGAACAGTTGAAACACCAACAAACGAGGTGTTAGCAATTTATAATTTTTCCGTTTCAGCTGCCACTAGATAGATTTTCCAGAACTACAAAGCTGTTTCGCTTTGACATAGTAGTATCCTTGTGTGAACCCGAGGGGTACTCTCCAAGATGAGGAGAATTTTTGGAATTTTGCACGACTATAATACTTCTTCGCCCAAATAAGGGTTACCCATATGGTGATAGTCGCAATATACGAGAATCAAAATACAACATTTAATTATTAAACGTCTTTATTAGAAGCACCGAATATAAGTCGAAGTGCTTCGGTGTTCGAAATAATTAAGCAGTTGGTGAGGGAATAACGCATTGGCAAGATCCAGCTGCGCAGTATCCAGAAACAGCGCCGCTTTCAATGCACCCAAGCCTGCAGTTCAGGTTGACGCAGGTTACCCATGGTGGAATCACATACTTCAGAATCTCAGCTACTTGTTCTGTGAAAAAAAAATGGGAAATAAAATCAGAACTGCTAGAGAAGAAACTAGAAACAGGCGCTTATATGTGTAGCGTTAGCCTGAATAAGTAAGTTCTATGATTTTAGAACACTGCATGAAGTACTGACTAGAACCAATGTCCACTTCTTTAAAATTTTGTCACAGCTTTGACAACATCTCTTTCGAGAGGAACATATCAAAAATGATTCACCACATGGTCTTTTAAGGAGTTTACATGTACAAGATCTAGAAAAAAACTATTCAGGTGCCGTATTTAATGTTACAAGTGAGATAGAGAGAGAAACACGTATGATAGAGCGAGATCGCGAATGAAACAACCACAGAGTCGTCCTTGCTATCAAGCATGCTTCGTCTTTTTCTTTCTATATCTTGCTCATACATATTAAATAGGAAACATCAATGAGTCTCTCTCGAACCTGTATGAAGATTTCAATGGGTAGAACACACTGAGCAACTGAATTTAAAAAAAAAAACAAATATAGTATCACGCCCATTACAATAAAGCATACATAGTGGTTTCTAGAAACAATGGCGACACTCAGAATTAAGACGGCTCCTAAAATGTATCCTTTCAAAATGCCTTCAGGCTGAGTGAAAATATTGATCTAAACGATAAAAGAAGAACATCATAAAAAGCACATACTGACATTTCTTACACAAGCTAAGTCGGATACGTTGAAATTACGATACGTTGATCCCACAAACAGAAAATACCCCGTTTTGAAACAATTTCCGCACTACATTAATGCATTTCATTTCACACGAACTATACTTATCCAGAAATTGTCAGATCAGATATCCTATCAATTAATGAGTCAAAATCCTAATATTTTCTTATACAACATTTAGGTATTCTACTTTCAAGACCCGCTAATCTGCCAAAATTAACATTTATGGTATTATTTGAAGAATTTTCAGTTTTACCCTCAATAAGTTTACGTTTCTAGAAACTCTTTGCGTTATCACTGACAAACCGTCTGCTCTAGAAACATTCCCACAATTTTTTTATCATTCATGACGTGTATATTAAGTGTACGAATTTGGAAAAGATTAGCGTCCAACTCAATTGGCGATCATATTATTGCGACCACGAATATTAAATACGCTATATACGTTTCACAAACCTTGGGTCATTTGTTCCTCTTGTCCGTTGTCTTTCCCTGAAGGAGCAGCACTGGCAATTGCAATCAAGGCAAAACAGAAAATCACGAAGCAGGTCTTCATTTTGATGAGTTTAGCTATTACTGTTCGTTCGAAGTAGTATAACGATAACAACTAGCCCATCATTTTATATTCAAGAAATACGCCTGTTTACTTGCAAATACTATTTACCCACAGACTTAATGTTAGATTTGGATGACATGTGTGTTGAACTAAGGATTATGTAAAAATATAGAACTTGACAGCAAAATAATACAAAAGTATACACTGATTCATGAATCTGGTGTAATGATAATGACTGACAACAATGTAAAGTAGATTACGAGTGACAGCGGATGTTGTGAATTAAAACATTAGATTTATGGTCCCCGGTAAACTTTACAAATCACACACGTCAACGACTTTTTTGCAAGTCTTACTGATGTTACAGGTTTGAGTAAATAAGTTGTATTTATTTGCAAATTCCTACGACAACGGAAGTTTATTTCGAGATGTAGGGATCAAAATTTCTACGCCACTGGTGAATTCTCAGGTGCAGAATTTTTTTGTCTATATTGGCTATGTCGTTAGTACCAGATGTATGAAATTTCAAGTCAAGTCAGGATTCTCATACTCTCAAACATATTTTGTCCTACTACCTATTGATGTAATAATAATAATATAATAATAATAATTATAATAACGTCTTTACTTAAATACAAACAACCAAAAGAGATGTAACCAGCGAAGTTCAGCCAACGCTCTTCTTACAGGTAACTACGGTTCCATAAGATTTTCAAAATATGAAAAAAAAAATATTATATAGAGAAAAAAAAGAATAAACACCTATGTGAGGATAAAAATGTCTTTATCTGTATAGCAGAATTTGTTAGCCTATGACAAAATCTCGGCAATGACATTGATTTTAAGCTAGTTTCCAAGGGATTATACGTATAGAATAATGCATATGTATGAAAAACCACGTTGGAATAAAGCAAAATTGTGTGTGGTGATTCTGATATTATAGCGATTTCTAACCGCCTGATCATGTATTTCATAGTTGAATCGCAATTTACCTCTTAGATACTCAGGTTTCGGTGAGAATTTTGTGAACTAAAACTAAAGTACTTATATTTAACTAGACCACCTAACTTGAGCCAATTTAGTTCTCCATACTTTTCACTAATGTGATCATATCTTCGCAGACCGAAAATAACGCGAACGCGGTTATTTTCAATTATTTGAAGCCGGTTTTTCGTTAACTTCTTAACTTGCTGTCAATTTTAACACCCAGTATCTTACCTGTGTGAGTACGTTGTGGCACTGTGCCGTCAATAGTTAATTGGAAAGACTCTTCAATGTTTGGATACTGATATGTTCCACGTCTTGAGTAGCAACAGTGATAAAGGAAAGGTAAATGTTACGTCTCTTTAATTAATAAAATTAGCTCCATTTCACAAAATATTCTTATTATTATTATAATTTTGTTTTTATTTCTGCTTGATTTACAGTATCAGTGCCAATATAGATCCGAAATATTTTAAGGAGTATATGCATATGATTTACATGTCAAGATTTAGAGTCTAAGAAAGAGAACATTTACGACACACAGGAAAGTGGGTGTCAGTATGGTCGTTACTAAACTCATTCATTTTAATACTTACCAGCGTAAATGGGTACATTAATCGGGCATAAACTATGGGCAGACGTTTAACACCTACTGCGATTTTTAGCATCAGGCCTATTGTTGAACGTTTTATGAGGTGATAATAAAAGGGTATTCGAACAAATTAATGCATATCGAAAGGCCATATTGCAAGTTATTTGTTGCGAAATAGCCAGGGATATTTAGTCAGTTGACGTAAACAAGTATTTTTTTGGTATAAGAATCATTTTAAGTCCTAAAATTTATGCTTTGAGCTGCTAAATACCCGAAGTTACATTGATCGCTTCACGATACATAGTCGACTACAGTATCACCCCAGACTTATTTACTTATAAACCAAGCTCAATCTGCTAAAAGTATGGTAAATACGAAGAAAATACACAGTACAGTTCACCATTTGAAAATTCTCTATAACTCTCGTAGTCCTATACTATAACCTACATAGATAAAAGATTGAAATCGCTACGCAATTTCACCTGATCACCTGCAACCTCTGCTATAGTATATGTCAGACAGTGATTGATGTCTCTCTTTAGTAGCATGTTGTAACTGCCTTCTATAAAATGCGGCGATATCAGATAGGCCTCAATATCCCGCGGAGCGTGAACACAATACCAGGCAACTTCAGTATCAAAATTTGACTTTATTGATCTATGTCAACCTAGAGACTGTAGTACCAGTATTCGCTTGTCGACCTTTAAGTAGACAAGTCACTTCTTAATAGGACATTCAAGTTTGAACACATCATCGAGCTTTTTTTTAAATAAGGTGACGTAACTACAAAATGACAGGGTTAGCGATCTTAACGCCATAATTTTGTCATTCACTTCATGCTTTTTTTGTAGTAGTTGTGTGTTGTCATGTACCATCTGCTTCATAGATGGCACTAGCAGAGGCTATTCATAGCTTCTATGGCCTAAACTGTCATTTCTATACTATAAGTCGTTGTGCCATTATAGATGGCGTTCACAGCGAATGCGCGTGGCGTGTGCTAGCGACTATCTAGTACACAAGTGCCAAGTGTGTCGATCAGATCGCTATAGTAGCGATTATTTTACACAATAGAGGTTCCGAATTGGATATTTTAGTTTACGTTAAGCAAAAGCTTATGAACGGATTTAAATAAAATTAAAAATTTAACGTCTTGCCATCAGGAAATACTATTATTTCGCTGAATACAATATATTTGAACAATATTCTGGAGAAATAACGTTCAAGTAAGGCTTCAGTGCATGCAGCATGTGGTTTCTGAAAAAATAGGCTTCTACAATTCTTTGGAAAAAAAAGATGAGGAAGTCTTGAAGTTAACGACTAAATATAATATCTAGTATCTGTGCTTATTACTTAAAATCAAAATTATGGATACGGTAAAAAGTCATATCATACTTGAATGATATAACGGGTTTACGCTGCTGAGTCAGTATTTTTCTCCACTAAGGTGAACAGAATAAGAAAACAACAACAAATTGCCTTGTGTACCCTAGACTGTTGTTCTTAGCTGTCATACAACAACATGGAAGTCAGCTTGCTAATCAGATTACCCAACTTCCTGCGCCACAATCAGTTAGGCATATACACAATAACAATAGAGCCTATTAATTCACCCTGCAGTTCATTCTTAAGGGGGGAAATTCTCTAAAGAAAATAACCTTATCGATTCACCGGCACTGAATGGAAACCCAAACAAAAGCCCATAGCTAACCGGTACCTCCACTCCAACCTCATTTTTCACCGATGTTTACCTTACATCTTCGTGCTCATATTGTCTATCGGATTACGGGCAAGCATCTCGCGCTATTCGATATGACAACAGAACGAGGATGCCTTGGGAGCCCTCTGGGAACAAGTGCAGATTCAATTATTATTCGAATCTTTCGGGATCGTTGAAGGTATGCTTGCTGTCTAGATATTGGTGAGAAGAACTGCTTACTATATAAGCCGTATGCAAAGTCTTGACAGCCTTGAGACACAGGAATAACAAGGTTAACGACAGAGGGGGAGGTAAGTAGTAAACATGTCTGTTTACCCTACTTTGCGCGCCACCTGAATGAAGCGATCCATACTAAATACATTGAGAACTGCTTGAAGCATCAACAACAATGGTGAGGACTTAGAAGTGTCAATAACGGGAGAATTGTTTCAAAAAATAGACATATTACGATTTTGTAGCTGTTTAGTATGTTAAAGCGTATTGAAACAGTATCAGGCATTACTTGGGCAATGGGGCGACGCCACACGGAGTCTGGTGAGAGAACACGTGTGCATGCAACATGCACACATTCTCCCTACGAGATCCACCGGGTGGTACCTCCGCGTTAGACATTACAACATCCATAGCAAAGAGAAAATTTTCTCTTGGGATGAGATTCGAACTTGCGCAGCGCACGGCGACTGATCAGGAGACCGAAGAGTCTACCATTGCGGCCACCTCTGCTGCCTGAAGGTATTAAAAAAATAATATTAGGAAAGAAAGAAATAAAGTTAAATTTTGCAAAGCATGTGTTATTTGTAAGTGTACCGACATGTCATTCTCCTCCATATCTGCTTTAGTGCTCACCAGCGTTGCTATTTATATGCTTCTTTCCGTCCTCTCGGCCATAACATCAATTTTCTTCATCTCATCCCGAGCTCAGCCCGAGATGTGTGTCCATATTTTGCACGGCTTTATTTTTCAATTACCTTACACAAAGGACTCGAGAATGGAAACTCGACTACCAGTCTATTTGCAGTATATTTAGACGACAGCACTGTAAACACACGGAGAAATGTTCACAAGGTGTGTTTGAGATTTTCTTCGAGGATCAAATGGCCGTTTATGGAATATAAGGCACCATGGCAGCTTTTATGTTCTGCTTGCAATAGGGTAGTTTTCAATTTTACTGTTGTAACTGGATGGGTAATGTTGCAACTATGGTCTTGCAGGCATGGAGAGTGTTCAAATTATAAACAATGACCTATGTTGTTAAAGCGGTAGTGGAATGAAGACAAACGTTTTGAGGTAATTCAGATGCAATACCACGATTATTGCAGCATAGAGGCATCTTGAACACTACAACAAGATAAAAAAGCAAATTGACAAAAATAACTAATACATAATCTTATAGAATCACTTCTTTGATGTAATAACGAACAGTTGTTGAATATCACAAGCCGATTCACGTAAGACCCATCTTTGAGAAGTTTGTTTGATCTACCTCTCTCTTCTTTTGACTGTAAAGCATCACGACCGTAAGAATTCAGTGTGTCAAGTATTATTTTTATATTTCAGCTAATATATTAAAACTGGCTCTTGCTAATGCAAAGCTATTTTATTTGAGCTTGTATATGCACAGCTTGACGCACGTTTGCATTTCACACGTTTCTTTTGCCCTACTTTATCGGTAGATATGACTGATATTAATTTTTGTGCGATCATACCTCATATAAAAGAACGTTGCAAATTTGAGGCTCGTCAATCTCTGTCCAAATAAATTAGCCATCCTCTCACAGTGGATCAAACTAGGACAACAAAAAA